AGGTTTTTGTTTCTCTCCTTGGCCTTCCCCGCTTCCCTGGGCACCGGGCAACGGCAGCACGTGGCCCTGCCTTGGTGCCAGCCAGGCTGCCGAAGGCGAGTGCTCTGTGCAGCAGCTGGACGGTCACCCAGCCTGGAAACCAGCGCAGAGGGACAGGAGGGAAGCCTTCGTGGCCCTCACTACCAGAGGCAGGAGTGCTTCATTTGCTCTTTCTCACAAAGCAGCTGCTGCTGGGTTAGCCGTGCCCGGCCAGCTCAGGTCCGTTTTAGTTAGTGGCTCCAGTTCTTGATCCCCAGGCTGATGGCTGGGGGTGTCATGCCATGTCCCAAGGCGGGACGGCTGCATACCTGCACTCGCTGCCAGGCTGTGCTCCGGCCGCCCAAGTGCCTGGCTCCTGGTATGTCCCCCACCCTCCCACACTCACAGGTGGTACCTGTCGGGACACAAAACCTTTCGCTCTGTGAGCCGAGTCCGTGTTCTCGTGGGAAAAGCCCTCTCCCCGATTGCGTTGGCCCTGTGCTCTCCTGTGCCAAATGGAGATGGATAAGTGACCAAGCGTATCCCTGCTAACAGCGGCGTTGCCTTTACCCTCCCGACTAACAGACTGTTCCAGGTAGAGCCCGGCCGCCTGCCACCGATGCACCAGGTATGTCCTAAGCCCACCTCCCCAGGGAAGGCAGCACCTGCCGGCCCCGCACCAGCAAAGCAACTAAAGGAGGGGAGGTCTTTCAGTCCCCCTCCAAAGGGCTCACACTCCAGACCCTGCTCCTCTTGACTACCAGCTAAACAGAAGGGAAACAGCATTGCAGAAAATAACCAGGCGTCTGTCTTGGCCCTGGACCCAGTAAGGAGGCAGAGTTTTAGATGCGACTGCACAACGGATCCCTGCGTGTGTCTGATTTGTTACAAGTGTCCAAGTCTCTGTCCACGATACTGTCATTCCAGATGGAGACTCTGTACAGCCAAATCCTCCCCCCCTCCCAGTGCGACAGTGGCTGGCGGCCCGGTCCACACAGCCCCGGCACAACAGGCTGCGGCCGTCCCCGTGACCGGCTTTTGCTTGTCCCTACAGGAAGGAAAAGAGGGGGGTGGACTCTTGCAGCTACAGGTAGAATAGAACTGTTAATTAATATTTGACTTTCAGAAGTTGTTAAGGATATATTTTTGTTTGTGTTCTGTTTCAATTTCTGTAGATTATAAACTTTAAATGGCTGTAAACCATGTGAGGAGAAAAAAAAATGTTAATAAAAATGCAAAGCCCCAACATTTGCACAAAAGGAGCCCCATGGTGTTGCTGTTTGCGCTAACTGATCACCTTGGCATCACAGCTTCTTCTCTTTCTGTCGTGGAAATCTTGCTAGTTGCACTTCAAGCCAGTGGTATAAGCACAGGCATTGTGCCAGATAATTTTTTAAGAGACATCTTATGGTTTGGGCTACATCCTTGCATTTCAGTTCATTCTGGAGGAAAAAAACCTGGACTGTCTGGAGCCAGCCTGTTTAATCAGCCCAGAATTACTCAAGCTTAAAATTCAGCTGATTTGCACAGCTTCTGGCCTGAGGATACTGAACAGGCACAGCAAGGGACATCAGGCGATCTGGAAACCTCATCTGATAGATCACATGGTGCTATCATCTCCCCACTTCTTTCCATGTGGGAATGGGAGACAATATGTCTCCAAACTGACCACTGACCACGACATCAGCCAAACCACCCTGCTAGTATTGCTCTTCCAGGTAAGCAAGTGCTGTTGCCATTGTGGAATGTCAAACTGTGGATGCAAAGGAGGGGAAGATGCAAGTGGGTGGGAGAAACCCCATTAGGTGTGTGCACTGAATTTGAAATCCCGCTGCCTCAAAAAGATGAGGGTGGACATTTGCCCTTGTGGAGTGGCTCAAGGAAGGTTAAAATCAGTCTGAACTATTCCGAGTATAAAAATTACACCCTGAGGTCTGAGAACAGAGCTCGGTTGGAAGAGCAAGAGGGCTAATATGAACGCAAATCAAAAAGGGAACAGCTCCTCGAGCTAGTGAACAGATATTTCGACTCTAGTGCCAATGTTCTGCAGAAGTAACACTTCACTTTCCCCAGTGTAACGCTGAGGCACTCGGAGGTGGTACAGGGACGTGATGGGAAACAGACTGCGTGCTAAGTGAATGCCCAGTTATGAGTCTAACAGTGGTTTATTCTCACAACTCTACTTTCTGGTCTCACCATCAAACTGCTGGAACTAATGGTGTGAGCCTGTGGCAGTTAAAGCAGTAGCAAGATTACTTGTACTCCCACAGCGAGGTTAAATCAGGCTAGCCAAGTGGCTACAGAGAATTATACTTCTGCAACAACCTCTTTTTTTTTGCCCTTAAACTGTTTTGTTCATCTGCCAGTAACCACACGGTTCTAAGGCTAAGGATTCCTTTTTGCTTTTCCCTTTAAGACATGGTAAAGAAATCTGGCTCTCATCTCTGTACTTGAAATAAGACAAGTTGTACAGATGGTGGTTTGTCTTCAGCTGGTATTTTAAGAAAAGCCTGGAACAAACTATTTCTCCACAGGATCTTACCTCTCCCCAACAGCGTAGCAAGCTGCAAACTGATAACTGTTAAACACTTGCAGCACGTTCAAATACATGGTAACCTGAATCACTGCATTTCTTTTTGAAGATTGTCCTCCTGCCTCTTTTGATGCTAGCAACAGACTTAATCAAAATCAGACCCAAAGGATCGAAAAAGCTCAGAGTCCAGGCTTGTTTCCTGGAAACTGACAGTCAGCTGATCCGTCCTGGAGATACTGCTCACTGCGCCTGGCTCTATCCTCGCATACTCCCGCAAGTCTGCCTGAAGCAGCACGCCAGGGCTCAGAGCCAGATTATTGTTAGTCATTCAGGAAAAGCAGCCAACACCATCCAGCTTGCACTGATCAGGACTCCAAAGGCAGTGGAAAGGTAAGCCTGGTGGTTCTTCTGCCGTGATGCAGGCTCTTAGCAGCAGCACTGGAACGAAAGGGAAACTTGCTCCCAAGGGATCCCACTGTTACCGTAGATAGTAATCAATTGCGGCGGAGAAAGCGGCAAATCCACCACAGCCGATAACCCCTGCCTTCAAACCAGCTGCAATGCAAAAAGGGTGGGAAAGAATGAGACAAAATAGGAAAGATACTGTTCTCCCCAGTAACTAGCTTATGCTGTGCTGGCTTGAAGAGCTTACACCTGCAGGAACCTGGCGGTCCCCTACCAGGGTCACACTAGCACTACCACTGCCCAAGGTGAGGTGGGGCACCTGGCACACACTAGACTTAAACTACTACGGCTGTACTAGCACAGCACGTTGGCTGGGCGCTGTGCTGCTAAGCCTCCCCCCAAGGGACAGAAGAGAAAACACCAGTGGGCATTGCTGATTTCGGTGCGCTCTGATCTGAGCGCTGCAAGTGGCTTTGCTGTTGCACTAGGGAGGGATAGGAAGAGCAGCTACTGCTTTGAAAGCTCTAAGAGGATTAGGTTCAGGACAGACACAACTTAACAAGCTCAATTAGAAGCACTTTCAAGAGCACTTTCTTTTCGTTTATGCTCTGTGGACAGGTTTTTTTCTTAAGGAGAGGTGAGAGAAGTTTGGTATTTCTGATGAGCAGAGCAGCTCTCTTCCTATTTGGGGCTTTTCTCCAGATGTTGTTAGCACTCAAGGCTTCCCAAAGTCCCCACTAGTGCCTGCTGGACTAAAATCCCAGTGCTCCTGCTCTTTTACAGCTAAATAGGATTGTCTGTTTGAATTGATACGTGAGAAAGGAGGAAAGCATTTTACACACTGTGCAAATTAACAGAGTTACTGCCAGTGAAATAGTATATATAAGAAGTAGAGCTCTGTTAACACAAGAGCTGTAGCTTCAGAGAGTTGCTCAGTATGTATTTTTGGCTCCCTCCCCACAACACCACAGAAGAGTGTGGATAGCTAACACCATTTCCTGATTTTTCTTTCAAGTCAATTCTGTTGATTTTCTTCCAATCTCACTGTCCTGTATGACCAAGCCTTCCCTACCCACACGTATCTTTCAAGCTGACAGGAAAGCGATAGAGAGAGCAGTTCTGCCAGTCTGGAATACACTCTCATG